CTGCAGGCCTTACATTACGTCATCTCTTGAAGTAATATTTCAATTGTCGTTTCAAATTCATGCGATTAGGATGACTCCGACTGACTACAGTAGGTGTTACGTAAACAGTGTGTCGGTTGCACTATTAAATTGACTGTATATTCCATTTTATTAAACAATAAACACAGAAGCGTTTAAATTATTAGTCAATATTAAATAACAATTCTATTTCTGGTGATATAAAGGAGGCTAGATATTATTATTATTTTTTACTGTTATACAGAACTTCCCCGCTGGCAGACACACTTGTAAGATATAAGACGATCAACAATGGTGACGGAGCAACTGTTGCCTCTTGTGTGTGTGTGTGAGTTATTTACGTTTATACACACATTTTTACATATTACAATAATTAAAATAAGGACAATACTGTATTACATTTATTAACATACTGGTAAATATTCAGGATCTCTCTCTCTTCTCTCAGGTGATAGTGAAGGCGTTTAACACCTGAGGATAGAGTTACACACCTGCCAGATCAGTTAATTACGACACGTAGGCCTTCACACCTGTACTGATGCCTTGTTGACTCTCCTGTTCCACCTTAACCATAATTAATGAGACACACCTACCTCACCTCACCTAACCCACGCCAGGTGATGTATTTTCAGACCTATGACCTTAACGTTTGACCTTTTGACCCTCTGAGTACAGTAACTGCTGTGAGTATATCTGGCAGGTGTGGACACGGTGCCTGTTGCGCAAACACACACACACACACACACACACACACACACACACACACACACACACGCACACACACACACACACACATACACACACACACACACACACACACACACGTATAAGGTTGAATTAATATATTTTTTGGACGCTTCAGGTGAAAAGGGGAAAGTGGGTCACCTTACCTAACCTGACTGACGGCCCGTTAGAACACTGTGGACAAAGACCGTTAGTTGTATACCGTCTTGACTAAACCTTTTCTTCGGTACACAATAATTGAAATTGAAATTTATATTGAAACAGTTTATTTAGCCAGAAAAACACAGATACAGAGTGGATAATAATAACAATATTAACATGGCTGAGTCAGTTGAGAACCTGAGCTCTCTTGTAGGCACCTGATATATACTATACATTTATCTCAAGGAAGTATTATGTAACATTTGGTGTTATCTGCAATAGTACACATAACATGGTGGCAATAAGAACATATGAGGATGTTACCACAGTTATCACTTCGATATTTATATAATTTTATTGTATTACATTTATATTATAAGTATATACATACTTTACAGTGGAGTTGATAAACATATATATGATAAGGGAGGGAAGCTGTACAACACGGGTTGTGTTAAGGTTGAACAAGAGGACAGAGCTGTCAGTATTCTGTCAAGTTGTCAAATATATTTATTATAATGGTAATTTCTTTTCTATCTACATGACAATTTCTCATTAAACGGCTTTGGTGGTACAATAAAAGCAGGTATATAAAGTAGGTATTACGAAAAATATTAATACTTAGACAATAGATATTTTTTAAGAGATGATTTAAAGGAAGGGAGCGTAGTCTTAGCTGGGATGGGTGGGGGTAAGTTGTTCCACACCTTCACACAGTGATATTTTATGGAGGTCTGGGACTGAGAGGAGCGCATGGGGGTGGTCTACAACTCTGGGTGTATTAAGTTGTATCACTGATTATTCGGAACTGGAAATAATTATTGTCAATCAAGTGGTTGGACAGGATTTATAAATAAATAGAGAGCAGCAGGAAGTGTTACTATCCTCGAATTTTAACATTTTCAATATAGCAAATTGTTCGTTAGTGTGATCAGTTTTTCAATTAGGTCATTGTCCACACAACTCTCTTCTGTGCAGTAATCAGGGGATGTGTTTTTGTATAGCCAGAAGCCCCCCATAGTGTGTGACAGTGTATCAGGTGTTGGTAAATAAGATTATAATAGATTTCTTTCATTGCTGTGAGAGTGAGTGACTGACGAGTGTGATACAGGATACTCCTACTCTTTATTGACGTTACTGTGGATGGCTTGTATGTACAGTAGTTTCTTCAGTTTAGTTTATCACTAACAAATACGAGGAATTTAGTATTTTGTTCATGTTTGAGGACTGTATTACCAAGGTACAGGGAGACCAAGTCTGGCTATCTTAATTCCCTATATATATAAACTTCCCATTTGAGAGAAAGTTCCCATCTATAAGTACTTTCCATTTATGAGTTCCCATCTATAAGTACTTTCCATTTATGAGTTCCCATCTATAAGTACTTTCCATTTATGAGTTCCCATCTATAAGTACTTTCCATTTATGAGTTCCCATCTATAAGTACTTCCCATTTATGACAGTTCCCATCTATAAGTACTTCCCATTTAAGACAGTTCCCATCTATAAGTACTTCCCATTTAAGACAGTTCCAATCTATAAGTACTTTCCATTTATGAGTTCCCATCTATAAGTATTTCATTTAAGACAATTCCATCTATAAGTACTTCCCATTTAAGACAGTTCCATCTATAAGTACTTCCCATTTATGAGTTCCCATCTATAAGTACTCCATTTAGGACAGTTCCCATCTATAAATTCCTTATTACACAGTTCCCATCTATAAGTACTTCCCATTTATGAGTTTCCATCTTTAAGTACTTCCCATTTAAGAGTTCCCATCTATAAGTACTTCCCACTTAAGACAGTTCCCATTTATAAGTACTTCCCATTTAAGACAGTTCCCATCTATAAGTACTTCCCATTTATGAGTTTCCATCTTTACATTCCATTTAAGAGTTCCATCTATAAGTACTTCCCACTTAAGACAGTTCCCATTTATAAGTACTTCCCATTTAAGACAGTTCCATCTATAAGTACTTTCCATTTATGAGTTCCCATCTATATAGTTTCCCATTTAAGACAGTTCCCATCTATAAGTACTTTCCATTTATGAGTTCCCATCTATAAGTACTTCCCATTTAAGACAGTTCCCATTTATGAGTTTCCATCTTTAAGCACTTCCCATTTAAGAGTTCCCAAGTACTTCCCATTTACACTCCCATCTACAAGTACTTCCCATTTAAGACAGTTCCCATCTATAAGTACTTCCCACTTAAGACAGTTCCCATTTATAAGTACTTCCCATTTAAGACAGTTCCCATCTATAAGTACTTCCCATTTAAGACAGTTCCCATCTATAAGTACTTTCCATTTATGAGTTCCCATCTATAAGTACTTCCCACTTAAGACAGTTCCCATCTATAAGTACTTCCCATTTAAGACAGTTCCCATCTATAAGTACTTTCCATTTATGAGTTTCCATCTTTAAGTACTTCCCATTTAAGACAGTTCCCATCTACAAGTACTTCCATTTAAGACAGTTCCCATCTATAAGTACTTCCCACTTAAGACAGTTCCCATTTATAAGTACTTCCCATTTAAGACAGTTCCCATCTATAAGTATCATTTTAAGACAGTTCCCATCTATAAGTACTTTCCATTTATGAGTTCCCATTATAAGTATTCACTTAAGACAGTTCCCATCTATAAGTACTCCCATTTAAGACAGTTCCCATCTATAAGTACTTTCCATTTATGAGTTTCCATCTTTAAGTACTTCCCATTTAAGACAGTTCCCATCTACAAGTACTTCCCATTTAAGACAGTTCCCATCTATATACTTCCCACTTAAGACAGTTCCCATTTATAAGTACTTCCCATTTAAGACAGTTCCCATCTATAAGTACTTCCCATTTAAGACAGTTCCCATCTATAAGTACTTTCCATTTATGAGTTCCCATCTATAAGTACTTCCACTTAAGACAGTTCCATTTATAATTTCCCATTTAAGACAGTTCCCATCTATAAGTACTTCCCAATACAGTTCCCATCTATAAGTACTTTTCATTTATGAGTTTCCATCTATAAGTACTTCCCATTTAAGACAGTTCCCATCTACAAGCATTCCATTTAAGACAGTTCCCATCTATAAGTACTTCCCACTTAAGACAGTTCCCATTTATAAGTACTTCCCATTTAAGACAGTTCCCATCTATAAGTACTTCCCATTTAAGACAGTTCCCATCTATAAGTACTTTCCATTTATGAGTTTCCATCTATAAGTACTTCCCATTTAAGACAGTTCCCATCTATAAGGACTTTCCATTTATGAGTTTCCATCTTTAAGTACTTCCCATTTATGACACAGTTCCCATCTATAAGTACTTCCTATATAAGACAATTCCAATGGTTTCTAAGTACTTTCCATTCAAGACAGTACACATATATAAGTACTTTCCATTTAAGACAATTCCCATGTTTGTTAAGTACTTCCCATTTAAGACAATTCTATGATTTCTAAGCACTTTCCATACAAGACAATTACCATCTATAAGTACTTTCCATTTAAGACAGTACCCATATATATATTTCCATTTAAGACAGTACCCATATATAAGTACTTTCCATTTAAGACAGTACCCATATATAAGTACTTTCCATTTAAGACAGTACCATTTATATATTCTTCATTTAAGAAGCACCCATATATAAATTTTCCATTTAAGACAGCATCTATATATACATTTTCCATTTAAGACAGTACCCATATATAAGCATTTTCCATTTAAGACAGTACCCATATATAAGTATTTCCATTTAAGACAGTACCATTTATAAGTACTCCATTTATGACAGTTCCAATCTATGTACTTTATTTATGAGTTCCATATATAAGTATTTCTATTTAAGACAGTTCCATATTAAATTCTTTCCATTTAAGACAGTACCCATATATATAAGTACTTCCCATTTAAGACAGTACTCCATATATAAGTATTTCCCATTTAAGACAGTACCCATATATAAGATTTCCATTTAAGACAGTACACATATATAAGTACTTTCATTAAGACAGTACCTATATATAAGTACTTTCCATTCAAGACAGTACCCATATATAAATCTAAGATAACGATAAAAGGTAAGTAACTCACCATACTGAGAGCCCCTATAAAGATGCCTGGCTTGTAGGCTGCAGCAACAACAGCTCTCAAACGCTGCCATGTTCGTCATTAACCTCTTCCTCCTCTCTCTGTCTCTCTTGTTTTCTCTCACCTCTCACTCCTCCCACGCACTTTATCACCTCTGCATTATCTATCTTTTCTTCTCTTAATATACAACACTTTTTCTCTTTCTCACTTTTTTCTTCTCACTTTCTCACTTTCACTCTCTCTCTCTCTCTCTCTACATCATCAACCTATCATGTATTTGTAATTTCTTGACTAGGAGTTTATTATTGTATTTCTTCACAACACAACACTGATTCTTGTTCTTCTTTACATCCGGTTCGTGTTTTGTTGTTGTTGTTGTTGTTGTTGTTGTTGTTTCCGTCTGGTTGACAAATCCTGAAAAGAAAAAAAAATAAACATTAAGGAATTTATTTTGAATTTGTTATTATTTTACTTAATGATAGCACGTTAGGTTTAGGTTTAGGTTAGGTTTAGGTTTGAGTTAGGTTGTAGGTTAGGTTAGGTTAGGTTTAGGTTAGGTTAGGTTAGGTTAGGTTAGGTTAGGTTAGGGGTTAGGTTTAGGTTAGGTTAGGTTAGGTTTAGGTTAGGTTATATAAGAATTTTCCAATGATTTAACCCTTTGAGTATGTATACCTGTAGTGTCTATGTATATTGTTTGTATACCTGTTGGGGAGGAGGAGGAGGAGGTAAGGGTGTCAGGGAGGAGGAGGAGGTGAGGTGTCAGGGAGGAGGTAAGTGTGTCAGGGGAGGAGGAGGAGGAGGAGGAGGTAAGTGTGTCAAGGAGGAGGAGGAGGAGGAGGGTAGGAAGTCAGGGGAGGAGGAGGAGGAGGGAGGGTAAGGGTGTTGGGGAGAAGGAGGAGGAGGAGGGGTAAGGGTGTCAGGGAGGAGGATGGGGTGTTAGGGGAGGAGGAGGAGGAGGGAGGGTAAGGGTGTCAGGGGAGAGGGGATAGGTGGGTGTTGGGGGAGGGAGGAGGAGGGAGGGTAAGGGGTGTCAGGGAGAGGAGGGATGAGGAGGGTAAGGGGTGTGGGGAGGGAGGAGGGAGAGGGAGGGAGGTGTTGGGGAGGGGAGGAGGAGGGGAGGAGGTAAGGGTGTCAGGGGAGGAGGGAGGAGGAGGAGGGGTAAGGTGTTGGGGAGGAGGAGGAGGAGGAGGGTAAGGGTGTTGGGGAGGGGGAGGAGGAGGAGGAGGTAAGGGTGGCAGGGAGGAGGAGGAGGAGGGTAAGGGGTTGGGGGAGGAGGGGAGGGGTGTGGGGTGGGGAGGAGGAGGAGGAGGAGGGGTAAGGGTGTAGGGGAGGAGGAGGAGGAGGAGGGTGGGGTCAGGAGGAGAGGAGGAGAGGGTAGGTGTCAGGGAGGAGGATGGTAGGGGCTAGAGGAGGAGTGGTAAGGGTGTCAGGGAGGAGGATGGTAAGTGCAGGGAAGGAGGGGTGGGTGTTAGGGAGGAGGAGGAGGAGGAGGGTGGGGTGCCAGGAAGGAGGGTAAGGTGCTGGGGAGGAGGAGGAGGAGGAGGGTAAGGGGTGTGGGGAGGAGGAGGGGAGGAGGAGGAGGGTAGGTGCTGGGGAGAGGATGGTAAGGGGTGCTGGGGAGGAGGAGGAGGAGGAGGGGGCAGGGGAGGAGGATGGAGGGGTGTCAGGGAGGAGGATGGTAAGGGTGTGGGAAGGAGGGGGTAAGGGGAGGAGGAGGAGGAGGAGGTAAGGTGTCAGGGAAGGAGGGTAAGGGTGTGGGGGAGGAGGAGGAGGAGGGAGGGCAGGAAGTGAGAAGGAGGGTAAGGGGTGTGGGGAGGAGGAGGAGGAGGAGGGTAAGGGGTAGAAGATGAGGAGGAGGGGTGTGGGGAGGAGGAGGAGGAGGAGGGTGGGTGTTGGGAAGGAGGGTATAAGGGGGAGGAGGAGGAGGAGGAGGGAAGGTAAGGGTGACAGAAAGGAGGAGGGAGGGTGACAGGGAGGAGGAGGAGAGGAGGGGAGGGAGGAGGAGGGTAAGGTGTCAAGAAGAGGGTAAGGGTGTTAGGGAAGATGAGGGAGGGAGGGTAAGGGTGTGACAGGGAGGAGGGTAAGGGTGTCAGGGAAGGGAGTAAGGGTGTCGAAGGAGGGTGGGAGGGTGTCAGTGGGAGGAGGAGGAGGAGGAGGGTAAGGGTGTCAAGAAGGAGGGTAAGGGGTGTCAGGGAGGAGGAGGAGGAGGGGAGGAGGGTAAGGGTGTAAGAAGGAGGGGGTAAGGTGTTGGGGGAGGCGGGTAAGGGTGTTGTGGGGAAGAGAGGAGGAGGTAAGGGTGAGCAGGGAGGAGGGGTAAGGGGTGTGGGGAAGGAGGTAAGGGTGTCAGGGAGGAGGGTAGGGGTGTCAGGGAGGAGGAGGAGGAGGGTAGAAGGGTGTCAGAAGGAGGGTAAGGGGTGTCAGGAGGGAGGAGGGAGGGAGGAGGATAGGTGTCAGAGGAGGAGGGTAAGGGTGTCAGGGAGAGAGGGAGGAGGGTAAGGGTGACAGGGAGGAGGAGTAAGGGTGTCAGGGGAGGGAGGAGGAGGAGGGTAAGAGGTGTGTCAGAAGGAGGAGTGGGGTGTAAGAAGGAGGGTAAGGGTGTCAAGAAGGAGATGGGGTGTCAGGGAGGAGGAGGAGGAGGAGGAGGGTAAGGGTGTCAAGAGAAGGAGGGTAAGGGTGTCAGGGGAGGCGGAGAAGGGTGTCAGGGAAGAGACAGGGAGGAGGAGTGGAAAGGGGAGGGGTGGGGTGTCAGGGGGAGGGTGATTGTGGGGAAGACGGGGAGGAGGAGGTAAGGGTGTCGGGAGGGAGGGGGAGAAGGAGGAGGTAAGGGTGACAGAAAGGAGGTAAGGGGTGTCAGGGAGGAGGAGGGAGGAGGAGGAGGAGGGTAAGGGTGTCAGGGAGGAGGAGGAGGAGTAAGGGTGTCAGGGAGGAGGAGGAGGAGGGAGGAGAATGGGGAGTGACAGAAAGGAGAAGGGTAAGGGTGTCAGGGAGGAGGAGTGGGGTGTCAGGGAGAGAGAGAAGGAGGTGAGGGTGTCAGGGGAGGAGGATGGTGGGTGTCAGGGAGGAGGATGGTGGGTGTCAGGGAGGAAAGAGGAGGGTAAGGGGATGGGGTGTCAGGGTGTCAGGGAGGAGGAGGGTAAGGGAGATAAGGGTGTCAGGGAGGAGGAGGGTAAGGGAGTAGGGTGTCAGGGTGTCAGGAGGAGGAGGGTAAGGGATGGGGTGTCAGGGTGTGTCAGGGAGGAGGAGGAGGGTAAGGGTGTCAGGGGAGGAGAAGGGTAAGGAAGAGGAGGGTAAGGGTGTCAGGTGTCAGGGGAGGAGGAGGAGGAGTAAGGGTGTCAGGGGAGGAGGAGGAGGAGTAGGGTTTCAGGATGTCAGGGAGGAGGAGGGTAAGGGTCAGGGTGTCAGGGAGGAGGAAGGTAAGGGTGTCAGGGGTGTCAGGGAGGAGGAGGTAAGAGGTGTCAGGGTGTCAGGGAGGAGGAGGTAGGGTGTCAGGAGTGTCAGGGAGGAGGAGGAGTAGGGCGTCAGGGAGGAGGAGGTGGGGTGTCAGGGAGGAGGAGGGTAATGGTGTCAGGGAGGAGGAGGAGTAAGGGTGTCAGGAGGAGGAGGGTAAGGGTGTCAGGGTGTCAGGGAGGAGGAGGAGTAAGGGTGTCAGGGGTATAGGGAGGAGGGAGGAGTAAGGGTGTCAGGATAGGGAGGAGGAGGGTAAGGGTGTGGGTGTCAGGAGGAGGAGGATAAGGGTGTCAAGGGTGTTAGGGAAGAGGAGGGTAAGGAGTGTCAGGGATTAGGGAGGAGAGGTAAGGGTAGGTGTCAGGGAGGGAGGAGGTAAGGGTGTCAGGTGTCAGGGAGGAGGAGGAGTAAGGAGTGTAGGGTGTCAGGGGAGGAGGGAGGAGTGGGGTGTCAGGGTGTCAGGGAGGAGGAGGGTAAGGTGTCAGGGTGCAGGGAGGAGGAGTAAGGGTGTCAGGGAGGTGAGTGGAGAAAGGTGTGCTGGAGGGTTACACAACTTCACGAGACATCAACTCATCTCTGAGCTCGTGAGGAGGAGTGGGGGGGAGGGGGTGAGGGGAGGGAGGGGGTGAGGGAGGGAGGGGTGGGGGAGAGGGAGGGGGGGAGGGAGGTGGGGGAGAGGGAGAGGGGGGGAGGAGTTAGAAGTGAACAGTCATTGTGTGTGTGTGTGTGTGTGTGTGTGTGTGTGTGTGTGTGTGTGTGTGTGTGTGTGTAAATATGTGCTAGGAGCCGTTGTTTAGTATGTATGTATGTATGTAATGTATGTATGTATATGTATGTATATGTATGTAAATGATCACAAACATTTAACACTAATTTATAGTGGAAAGTCTAAGAAGAAGAAGAATATATAGAGAGAGAGAGGAGAGAGAGAGAGAGAGAGAGAGAGAGAGAGAGATCTATCAGTACAGTGCGGACGTGGCCTGGTGGGGGGGAGCAATGTCTGATACGTAGTGGAGGGAGATTAGTGGGAGGGGAGGATGGAGGGGGAGAGGGGAGGAGGGGAGAGAGAGAGAGAGAGAGGAGGGGTGAGGGAGAGAGAGAGAGGGGAGGAGGAGAGGAGGGAGGTGTGAGGGAGAGAGAGAGAGGGGAGGTGGAGGGGAGAGAGAGAGAGAGAGAGGAGGGGAGGGGAGGGAGAGAGAGAGAGAGAGAGAGAGGGAGGGGGGGTGGGAGAGAGAGAGAGAGAGAGAGGGGAGGGGAGGGAGGGAGGGAGAGAGAGAGAGAGAGAGAGAGAGAGGGAGGTGTGAGGGAGAGAGAGCACATCAACTGTATCCTCTTGGGTCCGGATAAACATTAAGAGTCCGGATATCATGTGGACTTAATCTCATTTATCACTTATTCCCTACGGATATCCAAGAGTTGAGCAGACCAATAGAGATGCTTAAATGTTACCATCCCTTCTAACTCAAGCTGGCTAACCTGCTGGCTAACTCAAGCTGGCTAACTCAAGCTTAATGCATATAGTTAAGGTTAGGTCTGGTTTAGTAATTATGATGTTATCTCTGTGTTTTAAGTTACTCAGTTAGTTGCAAGAAGCTTCAGTTACCAGAGAGACGATACTCTGGTCACATACAGGTGGACGTGTTTGTGTTTGACGTCAGTTCATGTGTGAGTGTAATACAAACATCTATACCTGACTTGTGTAATAAGAGAGATAATTTAAATCTTTTTATGATAGTTTAGAGTTCGTACTAGTGAGTTAATGAAATATGTTTACAATAGAAGTTCAGGTGGATGATTATGTAATGGTGGCTGTAATAAAGTCACAGGGAAAAAAAGTCACAATTTTGGCTAGGAAAAAAGTCACAGGAAAAAAAGTCACAATTAATTTATGGTGGCCGGTAATAAAGGTTAGGTTAGGTTAGGTTAGGTTAGTTAGGTTATGAAACTGATTGACATATTAACCTTAAAAA